ACAAGTTTGAGCCCTGCATCAGGCTCTGTGCTGACCGTGTGGAGCCTGCTTGGGATTCTCTCTCTCCCTCTCCGTCTGCTCCTCCCCTGCTTGCTCACTCTCTCTCTCTCCATCCACAATAAGAAGTGGCTGAATGCTTCCAGGGATGGGGAAATCATTACCACCTTTCTTTGAAACTGTGTGATGCATGAGAAAATTCTGTTAGGAAAGACTCAGCTTCCCCCCTTCTTTTCATTGTGGCAAGTTAATCCAGTATCTTCTACATGTGACTCTTTCATGATTAGGACACAGGTGCTCACTCCTCATGGGTGTTGAAACCCTGTCACCCTCCAGGGTCCCACCCCGAGGCAGATTTCAAATGTCTGTGCTGAGGCGTCACAGGGGAATGGCACCTGGCGCTCCAGGTTTCCGTGTAAAGGAGGCCTCTTGTACAAACAGGCCCAGACTGGAGTCCTGGGCTCTGTGGCCTACTGATGGGGCCACCGCGACCTTGGGGAAGCAGCTGGGCCTCACGGCTCTTTGCCCTTCTTCGTCTGCAGAAGGGAGCCCGCCACCTGCGGAGTCCTGGCTTGCACAGTTGGGGAGACGCACTGAATGTGGATGAGGCCTGAAAAGGAGAGTCCTGTGCAGAGTGGAGGCAGGGGGCTCGTGGCCAACAATTACCTTTATCCTCCCGATGAGAGACCGACGACGTGTGCCTCGGGGGCTTCTTCATCCTCATCTGTCGCATGGGTCCCAACACTAAAGGGGTTTTGAGTGGTCATGAAGCTAACTTGACGCAGGGTTTGGGAGCCTGACTGCAAAGTGAGCAGCTTCCCCCTGCCGCTGATCGCACTGAAGGACATGCCTTTCAGAGGGGAATAGTGTCACGGATTGAGTTTGTGTCTACCCCCAACCCCCACCGCCCCAAAGTTACTCGTGGAAGCCTTAAGCCCCACGTGTGATGGAGCGTTGGGATGATCGGGGTTGGATGAGGCCGACAAGATGGGGCCTCGATCTGACAGGATTAGTGTCCTTGTAAGAGACACCCACTTGCCAGGCTGCAAGTGCACCAGGAAGGCAGGCGAGCACGCAGCGCAAGGCGGTGACCTGCGAGCTAAGGCCTCAGGACGGAACCTACCGGGTCGGCGCCTTGACCTCAGACTTCCAGCCTCCAGAAGGGGGAGAAAGGAGTATCTGACACTGAGCCACCCAGTCTGTGGTGTTTCCTTAAAGCAGCCCTGAACTAAGACAAGGGCCCACGCTTTTCTTCAGTTAGATCACCTGCTCTAGATCAAAAGAGTTTTGAAAAAACAGATACTAACCCGGTTTCAAAAAATGCCCTTTTCTGTTGGAACTAGATAGGGGTGGTGGTTGTACACTGTGAATCCACTTTAAAATGGTTCATCTTATGTGAACATCAATACATTTAAAAACAGTAAAAAAGGAATACACGTTTTGTACTGTGACCCCAAACCTACACGCACAGAACAGCTTCTATGCAACAACACTTCCGCTTCCTCTGTGGCTTATTCTTAGATTTTAACTACTCTCCCTCCCTTCTCCTCTCTCGTCCCTTCGGGTGGTTATGAGCCACCCTTCGGGGCTGTGTGATTTGCTTTTATGCTGATTCAATCCTACTAAATAAAAAACATGACTCAGTGCCCACTATGCCAAGCAATGCCTGCGGGACCGGGATATGACTGCTCCTGAGTCTCGACTTACAGGCTCTTAGAAGCATCTGGGTGTGTCCTCCAGGGTCAGCAGCACTTCTGGCTTCCTCACCAGAAACCAGATGATGTCCGGCCTGCATGCTGCCCGGCCTGGCTCACAAATATAACTATGGTCTCCTAAGCCTGTTTCTCCAGGAAAAGGAAGCTCAGAGCCCGAATTCACCTGCTCTCCTCTCCGCATCTAGGGCTGGAGCAAATCCACAGAAGCCTGGGCCACGGCAATGGGCAGGGCTGCTCCCACGTGGGACATGTGTACTGCCCCTAAGAGCAAAGTCAACCAAACCCAGCGTGCAGCATAGAAAGTCAGCAACTGATATCGTTCTAGAAAAAAGCCCTAAGAGAACAGAATATGGCCCTTACTGTGGACAATTAATTCCCTTTCCTATCTCCATGCGGTGCCCCACACTCAGGCAGATGCCTGTGCCATCTGCTCTGGCCAACGGGATGTGACAGGGGTGACCCAGGCAGAGCGACAAGCGCTTGCACACTGATGCATGCATGCTTGCTGCGTCATCTGGGCTCTCCTAGCTGCCTGCCAGGCATGAGTGAGGCCACCCTCTACCATTCATCCTCAACTGGGCCAGCCTGGCTCACTCACAGAATAGTGAGAACTAATGGTTTCAAGCCATTACGTTTTAAGGTAGTTTGTCACGCTGTGAAAGCTAACTGGATCCTGACCCAGACAAGCCAGTCGTAGGGACCCCATTGTTGAAACAATCAGGAAGATTCGTATATGGACTAGTCGGTGACGTGGAGTTCCCGCTTCCCGCTAATTTCACCAGATGTTAACTATGGTAGTGTCCTGTTGGCTTGGAATGCATGCTGATTTACGGGGGAGTGAGCTCTAAGTTTCCTGTCAAATACTTAGGCACAGCTGCTGAATGGGGGGAGGGGCACGGGGGTGTCGGGTTCTGGATCCACCCTGATGCGCGTGCCCTCCCTGTGCCTGTCAGTGCGGGTTAGAAGAGGGCTAAAGCCCGGATCAGAACTCAGGGAGAGTGGGAGTGTGTGAGGAGCACAGCATGGCTGGAGCACGCAGAGGATGAGAGAAGTATCTGGAACAAAGACCGGGAAGGGTTGGGAGGCACAGATGGAAACCGGTAGGGCTGTGCTATGAAAGCCAGAGCTCCTTGAGGTATGAAAATCAAATTCTGCTGAGGTGAAGCAGGTTAACTGTTTTGGTCACAGACCAATCTTACTGGACCGCACCACTCTCCCTCCGTGTTCTTACAGAGGGGTGTATTTCATTTAACTCAAGATTTCCAAGCTTTATTACTAGCTTGGAAATTTGGGATTCCTAGCGAGTGGGAATTACAAGTAGGGCACAAGAGAAAAGATGTAGTGGAGTAAAGGCATCAGCGCGGCCCGCCTGGGGCCATCTGGGGCCGTCTGGGGCCAGCCGCACAGTGCTGGCCTGGAGGAGCACGCAGATTGGAGGCAAAGGCGCCCACTAGGGGTCAGGACGCTAGAACAGCTTCTCGCCAAGCTGTGAGACGCCCCACTTGGGACATGGGATACAGTTCAGAGATCACAGAGGTTGAAAGCCACAGGCTCCTGATTACCAAGATCTCACAGAAATCCAGAAACATTTGTTGGTTTCTTGTGTGGGTATTTCATCACAGCCGCTCTCTCTCCCAGTGCCCACATGGGTGAGGAGTTTCAAGTGCACATTTCAGAATGTTCAGTTCTCAAAGAGCGCGGTTGTGCTATGCACACGAAGACCTTGGTACACTCAGCGATCTGGAACCTCCCAACCGACTCGGCCTTGGGGGCAGGCCGGTCCCGCCCAGCTGAGACCAGCTTCACCCACTCTTGCCCGTGTCCCTAAAAAATCTCCCACATGGGGCGCCTGGATGGCTCAGTCAGTTGAGCGTCCGACTTCGGCTCAGGTCATGATCTCACGGTTCGGAGGTTCGAGCCCTACATCGGGCTCTGTGCTGACAGCCAGCTCAGAGCCTGGAGCCTGCTTCAGATTCTGTGTCTCCCTCTGTCTCTGACCCTCCCCTGCTCGATCTCTCTCTCTCTCTCAGAAATAAATAAAACATTAAAAAAAATTTTTTTTTAATTTCCCACAAGCCACGGTGTGAAAGATGCAAAGGGGTTTTTGTAAGATTTCTCAAAGACTAGTGTGTACGCAGTATGCTCTTTAAGAGGAAGGCACGGAGCTTGATTTATCACACTATTCTGGGAAAAGACCTAAGGAACAGAAGTTCAATTAAAAAATGTTTTATAACAATCAACTTGTGAGACATGTTAATGTCCAGGTCAAAGCCGACACCACTTCCACAGGAGCATTCCAGCTCCAACCACCTGGACTCCTCTGGGAAACGGGAAAAGCGCGCCCACCCTGCACCCCTGCAGACGCAGCAGTGGGGCAGGGGCCCAGATGATCTGACAGACAGGGAGCGTCAGGATCGTGAACTGGATGGAGCCCCTGTCCCTGCACCGGGAGCCCACACACTAAAGAGCTCAGCCCTGGCAGTCAGGGGACGCGAAGAGAGCTTCACAGTGTGGATGGATCCCAAACTGAGCATCTCTGTTAAAAGCAGAGGGCAGCCAAGCCTCCCTGCAGGTTCGAAGAAACCAGGATCATGGGAGGCTACTACAGGGCTTACTTGACGCCTCTTGTAATTGACCCCCTCCTTGAGAGTGAGTACAAGAGCTATAAAGGGCTCGCTCAGCTTTGTGGAGACTGCAGGCCGCCTCTGAGGCTCCAGATCGGGACGGAATGAGCCCAGCTGCTGGGCTAAAGCGGATGTGTGGCAGGCCGCTCAGTAAATGCAGCGGTGAGGAACTGGGCGGCGGTCTCCAGGGCGGTTCCGGGACATCAGGGTTCATCCAGCGCCAGGCTGCCTGCTAGAGGCCGGAGTTCCCACAGACAGATCACTCCTCTGTGAGCTAACCCACGGCCTTTGGGCAAAGAAGAGGCCGGAGACCAGCAGGAGGCAGGTACAGCTCACCGCCAACCCTACCGACAAGGCCTCGGGAGGACATGGGGGCCGCACCTGTGCAGCACGGAGCTGATGGCGGGGGTTTCGTTGGCACACCAGGCTCTCAAAGGACAGACGCCAAGAGGAAGAGACCCTTTGCCGGGTCAAGACATACACATGACGTGACACTGGAATGCTGGCTTACAGGCAGTGGCGATTTGGGATGAATGATGAGGAGAGACGCCAGGAAAATACTAGCTGTTATTTTCGAAAGAGTCAACACCAGGAAAAAGATTAAAAAAACAGCTTTTTCTTTTAAGGACCTAAGAGAATAAAATAACCACCAAGAGACGCAGAGTTTGAAAAGTATAGAACAGATTTCTTTTTTATTTACAATCAAGTTCTGTTGGGCAACATAATTAAATAAATAACAGCTGCGCCCTGGCCTGTGCGTTCCACCTTCCCTTGAGCTCCTGGAGCAGCAAGCTGAAAGGGGGCTAGGAGGGCCGGGAATGAGGGAGGACGGCGGCCCCCTCCTCACCCAGCTCCGGCTCTCACCCCCACAGCTGTCCAGAGAACAAGAGCAGAAGGAAAAACAATAAAGTGCAAATTAAGAAGTGATAAAAGTATTGGTGTTTCAGTCACCCAGGAACTAAAATGATAAAGATAAATGTGTACAAAAAAAAAAAAAAAAAGCAAGACACAGGCCAGGTGTCCTCCGGCCTTGAACCTAACTCCCGAAACCTAAGATGACAATCCCATGCTTCCCAGAATGGGCTTCTCGCACTAAAGCACCGAGGGGCTATTGCACGTAGACTTGGCAGAAGGGCAGTGGCCTGGGACCACCAGCTCCAGGCGAATACATTCGAGGCCTCCAGTCCCTCGTCACCTGCGAGTATAAATGAGGCGTCCCTGGAAGGAGGTGGCGGCGCCCGCTTTCTGGGAGTCTACAGATGGACACAGGACTGCAGCACACTTCCTCTCCTGCCTCAGAACAGATTTTTTAACCAAGTTGGGATTTATTTCTCGATGAGAAATTAGCATATAGCACTGCTGGGGAGAAAGAAAAGACACCGAAGCTTTGAAGAACAGCTGCTTTCTAAGAACTATTCAGGAGATCTAAGGAAATTCCAACAGTAATCAGATGAGATCAGAGTAAGAGCCTTGTAATCATGACACAGACCAGCAGGGAGGGACCACAGTCCCGTGTCCTGGGAAATCAGGGTGGCCCCTGCAGCCAAAGGGCAAGGGTAATCCTGTTTAGGTTTCTGTTAATCCAGTGATTAAAGCAGTTCACCGGAAAAACGACCCCAGGGTGACAGGACATGCATTCCGCCAGAACCATCCGCCAGAACCATCCGTGGAAGGTCCAAAGAAAGCCAGGAGGGAAAACCCACCCCAGACGTGTGGGGTGTTCCCGGCACTACCGGCCGGCGAGGAAGCCGGTAGGTGCCCGCGCTCCCCCCACTGAGGTATAGAAGATCAGAGCCAGTAGTGTTTCCCATCGAATCAAGGCAAGCACCTGCACCGCTGCCAAGTGGCTGCAGGGTCAGGTTTTTGCAGTGTTATCCTTTCAGGCCGTAGAGACCTCAGCCCAAATCCTTGGAAATCCTGTTCAAAGGAGGCCCCTGGACCACATGGCCCGGGCTCTTCTCTGGAGATCAGAGCTACACCCAACACACCACCTGCTAGGACAGAGCCTGCGCGCGTCTCCGGCTTTGGCTCTGCTCCCTCGAGGAGGCACCGTCAATATTCTGACCACAGCACGGCTTTGCTTCCTTTGTCCACACTGACAACGTGGGAGCCGGAGGGGGACCAAGCCACGGCGTTGATGGACGAGCTTCAGGGGGAGAGGTGGAAACATCTGTGAGTTCTTAGTGAACTGAACACCAGGTCCCCTCACGTTCGGGGAGCAACGCCTTTTCCGATGCCCGGTTTACTTGCCAGTACTGCTCCCACTCACAGGCAGGCCCTTATTCATGCGCCAAAGAACTCGAAGGAGCCCTGCATTGTATCTCAGGAAGCAGTTTAGGAATGAAAGGGGCCAGGCGGTATCAAGGCTACGAGGGGGTAGCTCGCACCCTCAGACAAAAGCCTCAGGGGAATGACAGAGGAGCAGGCCGTGGCCACTGCTCTTGGGGGCGGTGAGAGGTGGTGACCAAGGAAAGCCTGGTCTCTAACTAGCAGCTGGGCTTGCATGGAGAACAAAAACTAAGACAGAAGGGAGATGGGAGAGGACTGAAAAACAACATATGAAAATCAGTGTTTACAATCAATTTCCTGTGCAAAGGGGCTGCGAAAGGAGGAGAGCTGGAGAGGAGGGGCTAGGTAATGAGGAAGACAGGCCAGCGCCCTGACCTCTCTCCAGCAGCCACTCCTCAAATGGCTCTGTCCGAAACAGCCTGTAACATCAGTAAGCAGAACACCACCGTCCACTGCGATGCACAAACGGCCCCAGCTTCACTCCACTAACCCAGCTCAGGGCAGAGCAAGTGAGTGCACGCTGCACGGTGGCCTCATGGGGCTGACACAGGCCAGTGCCCGAAGACGACAGGGCCCCTGGGATGAAGTCACGGGACCTGCAACCTGCTAACAGCCTCAGAGGGGCTGAAAGGGTTCATCTTACCCATGATGCTTTGAAAGGACCTTCTCCACTTTTCCCGAGAGCACGTTCCAGATGTAGAGGGAGCCCTCAGCTGAGCCTGCTGCCACGTAACCGCCATCAGGGCTGGAAAACATGGGAAGATCAGATAAGGTGTCAACCGCCCACCCCCAATTCAGCATCCTGGGGGAGAAGTGCCACACAGGCAGAGCCAGAGCTAGGCGGGGGGGCTGCCTTCTCCAGAGAGCCTGCCAGGCGCTGTCTTGGGGGGTTGCCTCCTTTCCCCAGAAGCCCTCAAACAGTTCTCAGGACACCAGAAAGGAAGGAGACAGTGAGAGCGCCCCCTAGTGATGAGTGTCACTCCTGGACACTCCCTCAGGGCGAGATGGTTATGCATTGGTAGGGGGGGCGGGGGCGCGGGGCGAGGCAGAGGAGGGACACTTCTCACCTGAACACAACTCTGGTCCAATCAGAGCCGCACTTGAATCCAGGGGCGCTGCAAGCAACAAAGCACCATCACCCTGAGTGCGGGGACTTATGAGCAGGGCCCTGGGGCCACTGGAGTTCGTGCACACCCCGGAAAACTGCCAAGATTCAAATATACAACCCAAATCAATGGGTCTTTGGTTACCTAAACGTCTGTCTGACAGCGTTTATTCGCAGATCGATAATTTTTAGCAGGTCATCCCGAGAGCAGCTGAGGAGTTCGGTCCTTTCCGGGTTCAAGTCCAGGGCAGTGATCTTGCCCAGCAGCTCCATCTCTCGGACAATGCTCTCTGATCTACAACAGGGAAGGCAAGTCTGAGAAAATGTGACACAGAAATGTCAGAACTTGACCATTTTAACCAGGATATCATGCTCCATGGAGAAGGGGGGGGGTGGGGGAGAGAAGTAATTCGACCAGAATGTGGTACTCTTCAAGGACACTAAATGTGTCCCAACCTTATAAAAATCACCTCAGTGGCTGTTTTTACTGCTTTTTCTGTCAATAAATTCTGTAATAATAGTTTAAGTACCAGAACTCTGGACCTGGGAAAATTCGTTTCCTTGCCCGTCTGGGGATTGGCGTTAATGGCCAATCAGAGCTCCGGATCGGCACAGGTGAGGCAGGACTGTCAGCTACCTAGTGCTATTTCAGTGACAACACTCTGACCAATCCAAGGGCTCCTAAGCTTGCTCTGCTGGGTCTGGGACGCTGTACTGCACAGGGACGCACATGTGGCCTCTTGCAGGCTCCCTGCCTTACAGAGTTCAGCTCCGGGCCCCCCAAGTCCGGCTGCATGATTCCAGGGGTGGAGCTGGACTCCAGGGGGGATTACCCGCCCAGGGCTGCAAAAAGCAATCCTGCAGGGCCCTGCCGGGTGATAGAGCCAGATAGAGCCAGAGGAGGTGTGGACCCTCCTGCAGTCACTCTGTCGTAAGCTTCCGAAGAAGTAATTTCCCACCTCAAACCCAAACTAAGAAAGAGTTGATCTCACTGCTGCTAAACACGTGGCTGGAGGCAGGCCGTGCAGTTCCCGCGCCTCAGGGCCTTCACGCGTCCCGTCAGCCATGCACTGCGGGGTTCCTAATACCCACTTGGACACTAACACGCCACGTTTCAGGTTCAAAGAGGCTAACCAGAGGGTACGAATAAGAGCATGAGAGCTGCCCAGGAGCTGCCGGCCTCACGCCAGGACTTTCTAAGCATCATCCAGAAGCACAGCCTCCTCGTGCCCACCCCCCACCACTGCCCTGCGTTCACTGTGACCAGCAGCGACCTCCCTCCTACTCTACTGGCCTCATCCCACCAGGCTCCTCTCGCCATCGGACTCCGCTGCCCCCCTACCTGGGACCCCCCGGCTCTGTCCCCATCTGTGGCCACCCTGCCTTGGTGGCTCCCTAAAAGGCGGTCTCCTGATTCATGGGCCACGTCCTCACGTCTTTGGAGTCCTCCCGTGAGGACTTATTTTCTCCACCACCCAACGTCTCTCAAAAAACCTGCTCCTGTTTATCCAAATGTTTCACCACAAACGTGCATCCTTACCCGAACACAGCATCCGTCGTTTATCCCCCGCGTGGCTTCAGTCCTCCCCTTCCTCACCCCGCCCAATGCAAACTCCGCCTCAAATCCATTCCCCTCCACGCCTCCCACATGCTGGATGAGGTGCCCATTCCTAGGACCCCGTCCTGCTCCACAGTACCATCTATTCCCTCGTGAGGAGCAGTCCTCCGGGGAGCAAATGATCAAGTCATTCACAAATGTCGATCTGCTCCCAACCCACCACCTGCTTCTCCTGCCTGCCCGCAGCCCAATCTGCCGTCGCGGCCACACCAGGCCGTCCTGATGGCCCGTGTGGAAAGTCCATCAGGGGCTTTCCCGCCGTGTGATGCTTAGTCACTTCTCCAGATGCACCCTGACCAGTGTTCTCTCATGTCCTTGGACAAAGGTGCCCGCTCTACTTCCCAACACCACGCAGACTTGTGTGTCGGTTTTAAGCCACCTAGTTGTCCAACTTCGCTTCCGCGGCAGCTGGTAAAGTGCCCAGTAAGTGCCCAGGGCGTGCTTGTAAGTGCCTGGTGAACCCAACAGTCTGCCTCATGGTAAAGAATATCAAACTACTCTGGTACGTGTGGACTGGAGCTCATTTCTGCCACTTCCGGGGATCTTAAAACCTGCAACCCAGACACAAAACATCCCCGGGGTTCCACCACGGACACTCCCTCCGTCTGCCTCCCCCACCAAACTCCTGGGTTTTATACCGGATGTCCCAGAAACGAATTTTCTTGTCGAAGTGCCCGCTCATCACACACTGCTCTGTGCAGACGATGTCATTGCAGCTGGAGCCTGCAAACACGGTCTTTATGCCTGCAGGGAAACCCAACAGCAGTCGTCAAGCAGAGGCCCCTCGGTGGCCGTGCGTGCCGCAGCATTGCCCTCTCGCCCCAGCTAAGCACAGCTCCTTACTGAACCCAGATCTCAGATGTGAAAATGCCACTCTGAGCTTGAACCTGGACTTGCAATTTAAACCGTATCACACTAAACGCAGGCTTTTGTGCGGAAACAAACACCTCGCGGCTAACGTCTAATCATACATATATTCAGAGAGACTGATTTCCTCACAGACTTTGCTGCGGAGATCCCAGAGCTTGAGGGTCCGGTCGTGACTTCCAGAAACAATGCGCGCATTGTCCAGCAGGAACTTGGCAGACAGCACTTTGCCGCTGTGTCCTGTGAGCGTGTGCTGGGGAGAGAAGGCAGCGGGGTTAAGCCTTGCGGGACACACCACGCGGGAACAGCCAGCTGCTCTACACACCCAGAGACCCGGTCGGCAATCTGGTCAGGAACCCTCAGACAAAAGGGTACCCAGTGCAGCAAAACATCCAGAAAGTCTGTCTTTTGGTGCGGCCCAGGGGTGAGGTATCAAGAGGAAAAAGGAGAAATCTCCCAGCACATTAAAAAACAAAAGCAAAAACAAAAACAGTGCAAACTTCACATGCCTCCATCCTCAGAACATGGGACAGGCAGTAGGGGGGGGCCTGGGACAGAAGCCCTGGCACAGCACCCCCCCCCCCCGCCCCCCATCTGTAGTAACTCCTGCAACTTTTTGTAAACCCCGGTGGTATCAAATTACAAAATTCTAATAGCCTGGATTTTACCCAGGGCCTCTTCAAGTCCAGACCCTATTTAAAGTCAGAACAGACAGGTTCCCTACAGGCATAGTTTACAAAAGGAAACATCAGGACTCTTTTAAATAAGCAATTAAATCCTCTGGGGGCTTTTTCAATCAGAGGCCTCAGCTTGAAATGTCAGCTGGGCACTCCCAACAATGAAACCCCCTGGCAGCTAGCCGTAGGGTGCCAGCCTCGGGGCACAGGACTGAGGCCCCACCCCTCCTGCTATCACAGAACTATCAGGATGACAAGGGTTCAGGGAGGGGACCCGGGGAGTCAAGACTTTTCACAGCTCATCGTGGACCTCTTTCCAGTGCGGGTCAACATGCTTATACATGCAAACTGTCATAGGCTCACAAGATACTCGTTGACTTTTTTTCCTAACCAACTAACTAGTAAAAAAAAAAAAAGAAAGAAAGAAAGAAACAGGAGCTTTAATACACTTACTACAACTGGTAACTAACTTACTGGGTTTCAGCCCCGACTCCCAAAGAGGAGATCTCGCAGTGTTGTGTTAATGTCTACTGCTGGGACTTCTGAAACCACCCTCCCTCCCTGCTCAGTGGCGCAGCGCCACTTGGGCACAGGAACAGAAAGCGCAGGCCTGCGCCTCCTCCTCCTCCCTTTTGAAGGGAGAAGCTGGCACAGATTCGAAGGCTCGTTTCCCCCACACTGAAACCTCTCTGAAACTGGAACAGCACTGTACAACTGCCGCCAGGCAGGGGGCAGCTGTGCTGTGGCTATGTGAAAACCTCCCACGAAGCCTTCTCATAAGATCAAGAAAACTCCAGCAACGTGGCTTTCATTCACTACAGTGCAGGAGCGACTCCGTGGAGCACACACCACCTGATCTGTACAATTCGTGGGAGACAGAAAACTTGGGAAGGTCCTTCTCCCGCTAAGTGAATTAAGTTCTTAGTAAGGGACTGTTTCAACAAAGTAACCAAAGTTCAGGGCACGTTCACAGATTTCTCTTGCTGCAGAAGTAAAATCACGGCTCTCAAGCTCTTGAGGAAGAGGCCCTGCTCATTAATGGGCTGTGTCAAACTGCCCATTTTTGTGAACTCCACGTTCGTGTCAATACTTTCATCGATTTCATGTGGAAGTACTCATAAAAGTTTACCCACTGCTCTTTAACATCATGGTGAAAGCAGCTTTTCATGTGACAGCTGAAGATGCCCGGGCTCCGGGCCATCTGGGAGACCATCCTCTTCCTCACTCTGTTTGGGTAAGGACCAAAGAAGGTGACCTGAGCACAAGAGCCCACTGCCGGGAGCTTTAGCGCTTGTCCCTTGTGCACTTTACAAGTTTCGAGGCCATCGCAAAGGATGCTGCAGCAATGAACAGCTAAGGGCATACAGCTTTTCCCCAACTGATTTCCCGGAATAAGACCCATCAAAGAAAGAAAAGGGACACTGTTACTTGCTGGCTGTCATATGCAGGTTAGCCAGGTGTGACTTCTTCGAGCCTTGTTCTTGGAGGACATCCAGTGAATGGGCCCCATCTCCACGCTCTCCAGGGGACGGAGCGTAGCTTCCTACAGCGTTTGCACTTTTGTATTATTTAAAATGTCTTTATTTTAAATGAATCAGATTTATGTTAAATTTTTATCCATTCAGTATTTTTGATGTTTCTTTTCATTAATTTTAACACTTTTCAGGTTTTATGATCCTCTTCTCAACAGGATTCCTGAGTGTGTGTGTGACTGTCTCTGTCTGTCTGTCTCTGCCAGGCACCTCTGTGCCTCACGGCAGACTCGAGGGCCGCCCATGGTGCAGGTAATCAAGCCGGCACCAGACATTAGAAAAATGCACACCTCGAGGAGAAAGTTCCTGAAATAAAAACCATCATCTGAAAGCCAGTCTCGTCACTGTGGTTACTCTCCCACGTCAACATTGGGGAACTGAACAAGGTGGGTTCTTCAATCCAGTTCCTCAAGTCACATCTGAGTTTTACACTCAGGAGTCCTCTGCCATGGACTCCTTTCAATATCAGGCTGTTTCCAGGACACCCTTACTACAAGGAGTTTACAGCAAGCACTCAACCACCTGCTCCCTGCATTCTGGTCTCTCCCAAACACCATTCCCTCATCATAAAAGCTAAGAAACTGACCAGGGCTTGGATCCTGAATTTCAGAACATGGATCTCCTCCATTTATGTCTTCCAGTGTCCTCTGTTAACTAGGCTCTAAGTAGAAGCCACAGCCTCCTACAACAAGGAGGCTGCTTACTTCCTGGATCCTGGTTAAGAATTTCATGCGGGTTTTCTGGAGAAGAGAATCTGTTTAAAAAGGCCTCCTGACCTTCATCACGCCATTTACGGAGAGCCGACCAGAGGCCCTCTAAGCCAGTTAGCCCAGCAAAGGAGGCTACCGTCTGGCACCAGCCCTCCAGTATGTCGCCAACCCCAGCTTAAGCTTGGTGCTCCAGCACCCTGAGCATCCTCTGTGCTGAAACCCAGGCCACCTGTGCAAACTGACTCACTCGAAAAGTGTGTCCCAACATCATGACCTTTGTCTTCCAGGTCTAGCTCTGGCCTCCAAGTCCCTTTATATATTTCCCACCTGAATAGAACTCTTTCCCCAATGAAAAATACCATCCTGCCCAACTGGCTGACCCCCAACTGCTTTTCTCCTCAAGGGCCTACGGTGTAAGGCCTCAGTCTCCAGAAGTACTAGAATAATCCAGGTCAATGGAACAGAGAAAGAGCACAGACCCCGGTTCCAACTCTCATCTTCTCATCTGTTACCTGTGTGACCTCAGGCAATTGTGTGGGCTTATCTGAGCCTCAGTTTCCTCACATCCCTACCTTACCTCATGCCCCTGGCGATTAAAAGTAGTAATGTATATAACATACCTCAGTACTGGGCCTAACACAGAAGACCCACTCCAGAAAAGACCCCTTTTTCTTCAGGCAAATTAAGGACTGCAGAGGTAGTCGACCTCATCCCAAACACCCAGTAAGTAATCGAGGGGAAACAGAGCGAAGCACCCACTATGTGGATCACACGCTGCCACGGGAAGAGGTGAGGTCGTGTGGAGTGGGCAGAACTGTGGCGCCCTGACCGAACGCTTGTTCAAACAGCTGAACAGCAGCGAGTTCTGCTGGCAGAGAGCCCAGCCCATCCGCAGGCGCCCAGCTGCCCACCTCCCTGCTCTTGCATTCGGTCGAGAACATGACTGAAAGCTCTTTGACTTTCACAAGGGAACATAATCTTTGTCATCTTCACGTCCCACACTTTGCACGTGCAGCCTTGGCTCTTCTTTCAATGACGAATAAAAACTCTCACCATGAGGTACTGACTAGCATCTAATTCTGGGGATTTTCCATACGGCTCCTTCAAGAAGACAGACAGCCTAAGAGATACGGTGACTGTGCATTTCTGAAGATTCTTCTAGCCACATGGCTGCATCCTCAGGTCAGACTGCCAGCAACCACCTACTGGACCGGTCTGCAGTGGCTCCCCAACTCTCTGCGATTTATCCAGAAGAGGTTTTAACATCATGTCCTGGTTCTTGCATGAGTTGACACAGGAAAGCTTGAATCAAGCCTTTTTCTTCATGAAAAAGTCCATTCTCCACCTTACCTGTCAACAGCCTTTTGTGAGCTCACGTGAAAACTGCTTCAAGCTTGAGGAGAAAAACAGCACGTCTCCAAGTTCAGCTAGTTGCTTTTCATTAGAACAAAAGAGCCACTTGGGTGGCTCAGCTGGTTGAGCATCTGACTCTTCATTTCAGCTCAGGTCATGACCTCACGGTTCATGGCATCAGGCCCTGCATCGGCCTCTGAGCTGACAGCACAGAGCCTGCTTGGGATTCTCTCCCCCTCCCCTTCTCGTCCCCTCTCTCAAAAATAAATAAACAAACTTAAAAAAAAAAAAAAAAAGAACCAATGTGAGAGAACCAACAAGCTTTGGTCATTGTCGTGGAGGCCAAATGACTTCTTGGCACTTCGGGTTCCAGTGCGAACTCCTCCACATCCAGCCCTGTCCCTTCTCCCTTCCTCTCACATGTATCTTCCAGCCTGAGTCAGAGTTCATGACCTGAGTGCATCCCATGTGTTCCCAATGACCTCTCCTGAGGTCATCAGTAAGTCCTGGAGCCTGGAACAAACACAATTTATACAACGGTGCCAGGATTGCTGAAGTTCAGCTCAAAGTGACATGTCCCCAAAGCACCTAGTTCTTCTGGACAGGAACACCCCGAGACTTTCAGGTGAAACGTGAGGGTTTCCTACTGCAAAGATTTTCAAACTGTATCTTGGACCAAGAAAGAATGTAATGTGGAAATGTCAATTTTCCCATGGGAGGAAGGGAAAAGGGCAGAGGCAGTATCAAGTATGATTTTCAGGAAATCATGATTCTCCCAATCAACCTGCCATTTCCTACGTTTTGTGCCTGGAGAACCTCATGGAAGTTTGGAGGTTATCAGCTTTCTTAACTGGGCCTTACCCGTAACCGATAATCATCCACGGTCCAGATTCGACTTGCAAAATCATTTGAAGCTGCTAAGAGGTAAGAACCCTATGGGAATAAGGGAGAGTGGGGACGGGGGAGACAAATTTTAGACAAATTAGAAGATCTCAGTCCACACAATACAGATTCCCCAAGAATCAGGTCCAGAAGAGGTTAACACCTGGTGTGAAAACCAACCAATTTTGTCAGTGTTGTCAACCCAATTTTGGTAAATCCACTCTTCTCCTAGGTTTGCTCAATCCCGCTAGCCCGTCTGAATGCTGCAGACCCTCCAGCTCAAGCCGGAACCTGTCTTCTTGAGGTCACCAGTGCCACTCCCCTTCAGTAACCAGAAATACCAATGCTCTACACACCGTCCATGCTGCAGAGCACAGAGGCGCCGGCTCCCCCCTCCATCTCCCAACTCCTCTCCTCGGAGACCCACGCGGCTCTGATGCATCTAGCCAGACCCCTCCCCTCCACCTGCACTGCTGAGACTTCAGCCGCAGCCTTTATCAAGTCTGCAGAGACAATTACTGGCTGGGGCACAGCAAACCTTGCCCCCCATCTTCATCACAGTCACAGCCAGCACAGAACTGATCATCTACCTGCATCCTGAACTGTCACTGACTTAAGGTAGAGAACAGCAGAGAAACCATTTGAGTTATTATTAAACTCCAAGAACCAGATGTCTTAAATTGTTCCTAACACTTTTAAACTCACCATTTTCCCGGATACTAGATACTTACAGCACTGTCAAATTCAATGCTTGTAATTCCTGCATTACTGCCAGACAGGGAGCCCTTGAACTCACATTTATCTGGATAAAAAGAAGGATTGAGGAAAGAAAAGAGAGTAAAGCCAATACATAAGTTACAATGGGGCACCTGAAACACAATGGAAACGAATTACAGGCTCAGAACAGCAGCTTTTTGCACTGATGCAGAGTCTAAGAATAGCAGGACAAACAGAACAGTGAGACACAAACACACAGCTAGTCAGCTGGAAGAGCGATGAAGGGAAAATGGACGCAGAGCTTAGCAGTTTGCCTGTTAAATTGGTCTTTTCAAGAAATTTAGAGTCATAAATTTCCTTTACAAAGAGGAAAATATGGGAATTTTAAAGACCTGTCAATGCACCTAGAAACTGAGTTTTGGTTCTGCTATTTCTGAGCAAAATGTTTCTAATTCAGATAAATACATCTTTGGGTTTGATAGGATTCGGGTCAACTGAGCTACCACTTCCGTAGAAGCTGACCACTAAATTTTCAGGATCCATGTGATAATTCTCATTAAGGTCTGAAAAGAATTTCTTTTTTTAGTTATGTGTTAACTGGCTAGTCCTTACAATGCCAGTAAAGCTACTTTGGAGTTTCTAGAATTTGTCCTTACGCTTACTCTGTCTCTGGGAATGTAAGATTCTGGCAATCCCACTGCTGGTCAAAGCTCCCCTCTCCCCAGCCACACGGGCCCAGGTTCTGCTTTCAGACAGCTCTGGCCACCCACACAGAAACTTTAATGATGCAGGCGCAAACTTTTAAGAGTACAAGTCTCAAGATGATGTGATTAATCTCCTTTTGTAAAGGGCAGCTTAAGGATGACAAGCTCAGAAAAACAATTAGGGAACCATTCAAATCAAATTCATAAAAGGGGAGCACAAAATAGGGAACATTTCAAAGAACAGCCTTTTCTCTAACTGGTAATAATTATGACACGAATACCACTTTGGAGCTGTCAAATATTTAGGGTCAGGATTACTGAGGGGTTCATGAGTCCCTCCCTCTGAATTTACTGCAAAATACCCGTATAGCACATTTAATGCCTTTTATTGATCCTAGCTTTCATTAGATTTTCAAAAGTCAGAAAGAGGCTGGGGCGCCTGGGTGGCTTAGTCGGTTAAGCGTCCGACTTTCGCTTAGGTCATGAGCTCGCGGTTCGTGGGTTCGAGCCCCGCGTCGGGCTCTGTGCTGACTGCCAGCTCGGAGCCTGGAGCCTGTTTCAGATTCTGTATCTCCCTCTCTCTCTCTCTGACCCTCCCCTGCTCATGCTGTCTCTCTCTCTCCTAGAAATAAATAAAACATTTAAAAAAAAAAAAAAAGTCAGAAAGAGGCTAATAATACCCACTAATTAAGGTCTTTATTTAGATTAGATCTTTACAAAATATTACTGTAAATTCTAATATCTCTTTCGGCTTATGCCCAAGATATTGGTCTGTTTCTCTGGCAGCTGACACAGGGCCAAGACGTAAGAAAAGATCAATAAATAAATGCTATTCTACACAAGAGGTTGATCTCAAATGACCAAATGAAGACCTTTCCAAAAGCTCTTTTATCTAGAAGACACCAAGGGAAGCTATGTCAACAGTATTTATATAAGTAATGCCCAACGGAGCTTGTGCTTTTCATAGAATGAGCAAGGACAAGTGTTCCTACTGGGCAGAAACTGCAGTTCTTCTGATACTTTAAAAGCGTAGACAGGACTCTCTCAAACTATTTCATAATTTCCATTAGCGTTTACTTCCTCTTCAGCAGCAAAAACGTAACACTGTTACTAAAGGTTGGTTCTCATTTTTTCTTGTTGGTACTTTTATTGACCCAGAAGTAAAAAAACATTTCTACGGTGATTTTTATTTAGTCATAAGGTATAATCAAAACAGACTATCGGGGCCCCTGGGTGGCTCAGTTCGTTGAGCGTCCGATCAGCTCAGGTCATAATCTCACACTTCATGAGTTCGAGTCCCACGTCGGACTCCGTTGGGAGCTCAGAGCCCGGAGCCTGCTTGGGATTCTGTGTCTCCCTCTCTCTCTGCCCCTTCCCTGCTTTCACTGTCTCTCTCTTGCTCTCAAAAATAAATAAACATAAAAAAATTAAAAAACAGACTACTTAAGATCCTATAAAAAACCAAATCTCGTAAAATTTCTATTGTTACAATACGGCTTTACTGTTATCTTCCCACAATTATTATCCATAAAGTGTTTCTGGGTAAAACAGCACAAATTTTGGTGGCCTTCAGCTAGCTGTAACTGCCAGGATTTTAATTACGGAGTCACTTTTGGGGGGGGGGGAGGGGAGGCCAGAGCACACAAGTTTGGTGCTTTATTCATAATCTGTTATAACCAAAGGGATCGATAGATTGCTCTTGCTCTAAACACACCAAAAGTAGTAACAGGCTTGGGCAGCAGCTCTCCAGCCTTGGGGAGGCTGCAGTGGGAAAACAGAGGGTTCTGAAAGCACAGGGCCCCTCCCTTGCCACGTGAATCAGTTACCAGTCCTGTAAACCAACAAGGCAAATCAAGTAGTGTCTCTGAGTTTTCTTATCAAGTAGGGGTGATGCGCACCTTTCAGACCGCACAGAGGCCATGGCAAGGATCAGGGGAAACAGCAGAGACAAGGTCACGCTGGGTCTGCTGACTGCTGGGCAGTGAGTACGGAGGTGCTACAACTACGGACACTCGACAAACTGGTTCTTACTAAAATCTGCAACTTTATCCCTTGACTTTGCTTTATTAAAAAAAAACAGTAGTTAACTAAATCCCAAAATGCTGAAACTGAGGTATCCCCAGCTTCAAAATTCTAAGAGATGGCTTCATTAAGCCCCACTTCCTGTTCTAAAGCCATTGCATTTCTGAGTACTCTGAGGTTGCTTCTGAAACAAGGTCTAATCAAAGAGACTGGGTCTTGATCTTTGGGCTCGTGTTAAATACATTTTTCCTGGGAGAAACCCACCTCTTTTTCTCCTCAGGCTTAGATACGACCTCAGTCATTTTTCCCAGGCCAAGGCCATTTGTGTTATTCAATACACACACCTCAGCTCAACGTAAAGTGTAATTATTAAGTCTATGACTTTTGAACTTTTTGTTTTCCTTCTAAAACCTATACTACATGGAAAATGTCCTGCTCAGTATGTACCAGAGAAAACACAAACACTAACGTATCTGTAACTCAACAGTATTTTCTCGTCACTACTTGAAAACTCAGAGCAAATAGCCACTCAGCTGTAACGTCTGAGATGGTAATGACACTTTGGTCAGATAATTCCTTACACAAAATTCTGTATACGTTTTGAGAAGATGAACAATTCAAGCCTGCCTGAAAGCAAGATCAACCAGGTGTCCCCAACACAGTCCCTCTCACTCTTGAGGTCTCACCTCCAAACACTTCCCAAAGCTTAACTCTCCGATCCATGCCTCCGGTGGCCAGCAGCCGGGAGCCCGGGCTGAACTGCACGGCGTTGACCTCCCCGTCATGAGCATCCTGCAAGACAAGCACCCTGCTTCAACCCAATCACTGTCATTCCCAAGAAGAGCCCAATACAAACGAACATTGTGGATACCTAACCAAAGGTGTTAGACACTCACCGGTAAATAAAGGGGACCACTCATAAACTAACGTGGATTTCTAGCCCAGCATCTCCTAAAATCCTGCTACCATCTTAGTCTTAGAAGTTACAGTTCCATTTATCTCAATACAGAGCAACCTTCTTAAAAAGTAATCAAAATCTGTACAGATTCACTAGCTAAAGTTTGTCTTTGAATTAACTTTATTTCTTCTTTAGAAAAAACACAATTTCTTCTATGCTACTATGATCTTAATAGCTTAAAAGGAAGCCTCTGATGAACAGCCTCTTTTTTGGTCTGGATTAAAAAAAAAAAAAAAAAAAAAAAGGCCTTTAAGGTTTTCCTCGTCTGAGTAATCCAAATGTGGAGTTCTAACACGAGCGGCTGGATGCCAGTCCTGCTGCTACCACACACATCAGTGTGACAGTGGGATTCTACTATTCTATTCAGTTCTGGAAACATGCCTCTAGTGTGTACTAGCAGGGTGACTTCTGCCAAGTTTCTTAGCTTCCCGAAGCCTCAGTCTGCCCATATACAGGCAATGACTTCTGCAGGTTTTGTGACCTAGAACCAGGCCTGACCTTGAGTAGGCTTTCAATAAAACAGGTGTTACTTTGGGAGAATTTAAATTCTTCACCAGAAAGTCTTTGAGACTGGCATCCAACCTAGAACACATAATCTGAAAAAAGGGCATCTTTTCTGTGTTCAGGATGGGAAGGGAAGCAGAGTAAAAAGCATCCTCTCCTAAGATGGGAGAAGAGAATATGAGATTCACTAAAACCAGTCTTAAAAGACTATAGATGCTGAAGTATTTCTGGATGAACTACGACGTCTGTGATTGCTTTTCACTGCCCCAGTAACAGTGTGTGGGCAAGAGAGAAGACGATTGGCAAATGTGACTAACTGGAGATGCCTGACAGATGAAGGTACTGGAAGTTCTTTTTCTGGATTTGAAAATTTCTATAATTAAAGGGGGGGGGGGAAGACTAGAAAACACAGATTACAAGATCACCAGGGTGCCTGGGTGGCGCTGTCGATTAAGCATCCACTCAATATGGGCTCAGATCATAATCTTGGGGGTTGTGAGATCGAGCCCAGCATCAGGCTCTGTACTGAACTTGGGATTCTCTCTCTGCTCCTCCCCACTTCTCTCTCAAAATAAATAAACTTCAAACAAAACAGGTTATCAATCACTTGCCGAAAACATCATTTTGGGAACATAAAATCTGATGGTCACATTTGCTTGGGACTGAAAAAGATGCTTGAAATATTATAAAAAACACAACTGTTAACTGATTGGGAAAGAAACATCACTTTATTACCGTATTATTATACTTTTGGTGATCTGATGCCGCCCACCTCAGCCCTTCTGCCCTACTGCTGAAAAGCTGTAAGGGGACCAACCTTTTTAGCCTCCATTGATTCCCTTCCTTTTCCTTCTTTATGCTACCTTTCTACTTAGGAGGTCTCAGATTGAAAACTTGAGATCATGCACCGTCACACCCGCCGCTGCCACTCTTCAATCTCCTGCACAGCTGGTTCTGTCGGATGTTTGTCAGCTGTGAATTGTCTACTCTCAGAGGCACACACTGACAGCATCCCAAACTATCAGCTGCTCCATTATCCCAAACACATGACTTAAATGTGATAGGAGAAAATAATGGGCTGCTGGGAGGTGAGGGCAGGGAAGGGGCTGTGACATTTAGTGCAATCAGACCTTTTACCAATCATCACTGACCTCCGTAAGGTGCCTAGGGCCTGTCAGGGAATCACAGGGGTGGAGGGGGAATGGGAAGGGGCCTTGACGGTCCCCAGTTCAACTCCTCCTCCAGAGGAGGACTTTCTTTACAATATACAAGGTGGTTAAATCACTCAACCACTATGCTGTGTAGAAAGCAACTGAGTTCCTCCTTATGCCTGGAACTGAAAGTTTCCCCCATATAAATTCCATCCCATTTTTGACAGTGAGTCTTTCTCCACCCTGAGAGCTAGCTCCTCTAACTCACCCCATGCAATCCAGGAGTCAGCCCAGCTACCTGGGCTCTGCCCTGCCTTTCCGTCCCCACCAGCCCCCTACCTGCCGGCCCTGAGACAGGTACTCCACATGTCCCCAAGCTGGTTTCATTGCTGCTCAATCACCGCAGCGGGGACCGGATTATTCTTTAGTACTAGCACCCAGCTCTGAACTCCTGCTGACAGTCCTGGCACCAAGTGGCCTCTGCTCAGGACGGTCTCCTGCTTCCAACCTTGTTCCTCCTCATGATCGGAAGTCACAGAGGTATAGGCAGAGTTCATGAAGCAAACAGCTACCCTTAACTACCTTCTAAAACAGATTATCAACTAGAATCTCTGTTCTAGACTGGAGCCTACTGATGATGGTAATTACATACATCACTGTCACTTCTCACCAACCCTAATCACTTCTCCCTTTTCCCACCTCTCATGTTACCACTTCTCTCTCAGCTAGTCCTACATCAGAGAACAAGTTTTAATAACTTCTGTTCCCTGAACCTAAGCAAAATGTATCAATCCCTTCCATCAGACAGAGCCAAAGCTTGCTACTGCTATAAATAAAACAGTAGAAAACTTAGCTGCAGCACAGAATGGATCCTTTAACTGTCAGGCTCTGTTACCATACGAAGCTTGTGGGGAGTGGGGTTAAACCTTACTTAGGGTTAAACCTTACTTACAAAGACACATATGGCGGTCGTTGGCACTCTCACTTCTTTACTAGAACCAGGATGAGTATCCACGTTATCCTGGGGAACTGGAAAGGAAGAGACAGAGCGCCTCCTAAGAAGTAACATAAAGGAAACTATTAGCACTGCACAGGGCTTAATGTCCACCAAACGCCCAGAAGGGCTTCACAGATGACTTTTGGCAGTGGCTTCTTCTGCCTCCTAGACTCTTCAAAGCACAGAGCGATGCACCCGATCAGAAGCACCCTCACAGGACACCTGGAGAGATCTCCGGCACATACCTGCACTCTCTTGCTTGCCAACTCATAGACTCCAAAACCCGACACTGAAAAGCCATCCCAAACTATTGCTTCCCAGTCAATGAACTACTATAAAACATTTTCAACATACTGTAACTGCCCACTCACAGGGAGCTCGTTTGTATTTTTGTGGGATGACTTCTATGCCTAGTTGCAATCACCCTTGGTGTACACGGTGGTCAAGTGGAGTCGAATGCATGCCAAAGGAGGGAGGGATGAGAGTGTGACTGCTGGGTAGAGCTCAACCTAGCACCCGCTCAAGAGGCTGAAGCGCTCCAAGGAGCATGCACAGCTGCCGGGTGCGCGTGCACATCCAACCATGGTGGGGGCGGGGTCAGGGGGAGCCAAAGCGGTGATCGGCACGAAGCAGTGATCAGCATGATTATCAAGGAGCCACGCTCGCATGCCGGGCCAAGAGAGGGTAGTATTTTCACCTGGCAGCGTCAGAAGGGTGATGTCCCAAAAGGGGAGACTCGGACAGACTAAAGGAAGGGCCAGAGGTCAGCACGCAGCGAGAGCAAGAAAAAGAAAATGGAGGAGAAAAGGAAGAAGCTAAGTGAAAAGCTGAAATTAAAGCATCTGTCTACTCAGCACCACTGAAACTTTGGTGTACATTACAAAAATGGTGATAAATCCTGTACAATACTTATGAACACCCACACACACATTAACAAGGAAAGGTGAAGGTTTTCTAACCTACCCAAAGATATTAGTGATAGAATCCAGAAGGCCTCCAGCAGGCTGCGAGAGTCGCTTACTAAAGAGGAGGGGAGCATAGGTTTAAACCTTAGAAACATTTTGCCCAAATCATTCATCAATAAAAAACAGCCCACAAAAATAGACATCTGGGAGTATGTTTCCCATGGAGTCCCCAAACCCCAGCCGAGAAACCCTTCAGAGGAGCAAACCACCAGGAAACAGTGGGAAGGTAGAAGGGAGGTCCCAGCTTCAAAGTTTTAAAAGAAACAAGGTTCCCACACATTAATTGTCCTGGAAACAGGGCCTTAGACAATGACACAGTCGATCTGACCTCACAGTGTCCGTAAATAACCGATCCCCACCCTTTCAGTCCTGCTCTAGCAAAGAGAAAACCCCTGGAACCCAGTAAGAAGTAAAAAGTCTGACCTAAACAATTACCCTGCCCCACAAGATGTCCCTGTCCCTCCTGCAGGAAGCCACTACACTCTTTTCTGCCTCTCCTCACAGCTGGTGGCAGCACTAAGGAACAGCTTATCTCTCATTGAGAGGTGACCTGAGGGGTGGCTGGGTGGCTCAGTCGGTTAAGCGTCCCACTTCGGATCAGGTCATGATCTCATGGTTCGTGGGTTCGAGCCCTGCATTGGGCTCTGTGTTGACAGCCAGCTCAGAGCCTGGTGCCTGTTTCAGATTCTGTGTCTCCCTCTCTCTCTGCCCTCCCCTGCTCACACTGTCTCTCTCTCAGAAATAAACAAAACATTAAAAAAAAAATTAAAAATAAAAAAGAGGTGACCTGAGGAAGACGGGGACACTCAGGAGCCCGCACTGTCCACGCCTATGACAGGGGGGCCAGGTGCTCCAGTGAGGGGCCTGGCTGCATTAGGCTGCTCGTGTCATGGCCACAAAGGTGCTGTCAGACCGTAGCTCGAGCTCTCCTTTCCTGGCCCACCCCGTCCACTTACGTGGCCCCTCTGCTGATGGCTCGCACAGGAGAGGTCTCCTCGGCATGATCAGAGGTTTCATCCACAATGACTTCAATGTCATCATCCCTGGAAAGAAAGGCAAGGGGCCGAGTCTTTGATTCCGCTAACCAGGTGCTCTGAGGCGGGTCTGCTCTATGAACGTCGGCACCACTGCCTGGTCACAGCCTATGCGACTCAGAGATGGCCAAGGACTCTGGAGGACCACGAGCGGCCGCACTCTGAACGTGCTAAAAGAAACATTTAACCTGTTGAAATCAAATCCAGAACTGCTGCAGAAAATAACTTTAAAAGTGATCTTTTGGGAGTGCCTGGGTGGCTCAATCAGTTAAGCATCTGACTTCAGCTCAGGTCATGATCTCATGGTTCTTGAGTTCGAGCTCAGAGCCTGGAGCCTGTCTTCAGATTCTGTGTGTGTGTCTCTCTCTGTCCATCCCCTGCTCATGCTCTCTCTCAAAAATAAATAAAAACATTAAAAAAAAAAAAGTGATCTTTTGATCCTCTGAGCTGTGAACACAGCTCTCACTTACAAAGCAATGACATAATGGTTTAGTAAGTCCTTAATGACATGTCAGTGCCAAAAGACAGTCTTTCCAGAAGTCTGGTTCACAGCTGAAGGGCTCCTGCACACCAGACTAGAGTGCTCCCAAGAGTCCCACGAGATGGGCTGAGCGGCGCAGAGGACAGCTGGGACAGGTACAGAGTACAAGAAAAGGGCAGGGTAGGGAGGAGACCCAGGGGAATAAGGAAGTACTGGAAGAGCAATGAAATCAATGGCTGCATTAATATCGGGTTTAAATACTGCTTTCACAATAATAAACGGAAAAGCAAAAGCTAAACACAATTCATTTTTGACTCTGGGTATTTTGTGCTTGTGTTCAAACATTTGGTCCTTCTGACATCTCGGGAGTCAGTCCATCACATTTCACACCAAATAATCAAACCATAGAAATGCACTGTTGTTGATCCCACTGCACACAAAGCACCTCTGGAGTTCCCCTCCCCGCCCCTTCCTGGATCAGGGGAAGGCAAGTAATTATTTTGGTCTTAATGACCGCCTCCCGAGTTGCAATCTTCTTGGGGAAATAAAATAATAAAACCTAACAACCCAAGACCTTATCACCTGATGTTCGGACTCCTTAGAACTTGAAAACAAGATTTTTCTGCGATTAATTATCTGGATTATGTAAACATATACTTAACTTGTTACCAAGCAAGTTAAACCAAGTCAAAGTAAATGTACTTTTCTTGGCTTCTGATTCTAGGATTCCATGCAACTGACCCCAGTCTTGGCCAGGACATCGGGGAGAACAAAGGCAAGCCTGAAGGAAGAGAACAAGGCCAGCCTTTCTTTCCTTAGCGGTTGTGGTTTGGGGGAGCCGCTCGTGTTCACACAAGGGCGACAACAGAGCAGCAAACGTGAGCTGACCCTCTGTGAATACTTTCAGATACTACACACGTGAAGACACTCAGACTGTGCAAAGGCCCAGGGCCATAAGAAAATACCAGACTGTGACAACTGGTAATCGAAACTCTTCAAAATAGACATGTCCTCTGCTCCAGAAATCCCACTGCGTGGGAAGCACAGAGACTAAGAGCGGGCCTCTACAGTCAAACACTCCTGGGTTAGGTTTGCTCAGCTCAGTTCTATGAGATCTTGGGCAGCAGGCGGGACCCAAGTCATGTCACACCCAGCCACCTCTTCAGGCTGCAATCAGGAAGCAACATAAATGGCTTCCGTAAGGCGTCATTTCTAGGTCAATCATTTTTTGTGGTTTCAGGAAAATACACTGGAGATTTATTTTCCGCATCTGGGAGTACAGAAGAAATGTACATATTCTAAATCTAAAGCAGGACCTTGGTATGAACACCTTTCTTTCTCACAGGAGTCACAATTAAGAACAGAGAGCAAGACAAAGAACTCCAGCCCAGTGATCCACAGCGACAGGCCCAATGAAGGGGTAGAAAACAGATCCAAGTATCCAGAGGAAAGCGGTAGACAGTCATCTGTTCAGGGTGCAGGAAGTCGGACCTCGCACTCGAGGCTGGCCAGGAGCCTACATTGGAGGGGCCTCCTGGGAGGTAACCAGGATGTTTCTATCGGCTCCCTTAAATCTTTCAGTTCTTTCTACAATCCATAACATGATTTTACAGAAATAACATTACAAACCCATTTTAAAAGAGTGGATCAAATGACTAACAGCACAGTTTTGATGGGAAGAGCTCTACTTACTGTTCAACGGGTAGAGGTTCCTTGGCGGCCTCTGCGAGCTCCTTCTGCAGCCGGGCTTGCCGCCGCCTATTAAACAAAGCCCACTAGTTACATCTGCTTGAAGACCGCACAGGGTTTTGGCTCTCAATAAACCACCTGCTCTAATATCACATCTGAACATCCAGTGCCCTAGGGGCGCCTAGGCGGCTCAGTCTGTTAAGTGTCTGACTCTTCTCTGCTCAAGTAATGATCTCATGGTTCTTGAGCTCCATACTGCACTTGGCTCTGACAGTGTAGAGCCTGCTTGGGATTCTCTCTCCTTCTCTCTCCAAATAAATATTACTTAAAAAATAAAATAACATAACTGCCCTGGGGAAAGACATCAAAGTCCCAAACCCACTCCAGTGACATCAGTAAGGAACCCTACTCTAAAGGATTGCAGAGCAAAGCCCCGAAGAGGGATTATGTTCTTAGAGAAGGCAGTGAACAGTCTAGCAAGGAGAAGCCTGCCCGTCATGACCCAGGGTCTCTCAGGACAGAAAGGTACACCAGGTTTATTAGGGGTTAGTCGTGGTCAAGAGCTGGCTTTCTGCAGCAATGTACTGAAAGCATGAATGGTAACAGTTAAGATTTACTGAGAATTTACTTCTGCCTGGCTTGGTATTTTTACTTCCAGATTTTAACTCGTTTAATCCTTGTTAATGATGCTTTGAAATTAAGCAGTTTTATAGACAAGGAAACTGAGGTATGAGAATCTTGAACTGTCAGAACGAACACAGCTTCAACTGACCAGGACTGGACACAGACATCTCGGCTGCAGACAAAATTTAATGTGGTCAGCAGTTGAGTCTGATTTCCTCTTCTCAGAACAATTCTTGTCTTTCCCCACGTCCTAAATTCAAGACCTCCCTAACTTTTAACCTGGGCGTCATTTTATTTTCCATGGCAAGTTCGTCCTCTGTGGTTTTTACCCTTAATGTGGAGGTCCCTCCAATCCAGAATTCTAGCATTGCTATCAAGCCCTAGTCAAGAACTCTGCTGGAATTCTTTGTAAAGCTTCTGCCACAGCGCTAATTCTCAAAACCGGGAAAAGTCCCCTGGGTGGCATATCTGAATCTTGGGAAGGGATGAGAATGCAGCTTAAGAAAGTGCATTACACTCTTAATTTTCTACCTGGAAGATGAAAACAGGACAAATGACAAATAAAGTTTATTATTTTCTTAGATGGAAGAGACGACCTGCGAGCTATCTTTGAGAGAAAACCAGAGTGGTGATGTGGGGCGTGTGATCCTTCTCTACTGGAAAGGCACCTGCTGCAAGCAAGGGATGCAGAACAGACCGAAGGTCACAGGGAGGAGAGAACACCGGCAGCCCGGCTTTCATTGGAAGGGCCAAAACCAAACTTCCCTCTTTCATATTCCCCAAGTGCGTGTGACACGACAGCCACTGTGCCTGACCATGAGGACAGACCTCAGCGGAATGTGAACAGGTAAGTGAAAACGTGGAATGGGCCATGCTATCAGGTAAACAAAGGCTACTGGAAGGAGAACATCTAACCTGGGGACTGGCAGGAAGGAGGGAAAGCTTCTAAGGAGTAAAGTCTGAGCAAAGTAATGAAAAGAAACCCCAGGCCCCGCCTATGCAATCAGATAATGCCCCCGGCACATATCCCTAGGAAGACATTCCAAAGGGAGGAACTAGAGCAGACACATAATTTGCTCTCGTCCCATCTCAACAGGAAGTCTGTCTTATTCTCCTGTCCGCTGTGATGACCAACCTCCTCATCCCGCCTGCCTCTCCCTGGGCAGGTGTTCAACATGCAGCACTATGAATCCAGGGGACCCCGGTGAGCTCACCACCCTCAAGCTGCCTAAGGACTCCACAACATTGGCCAAGCTATTTTACTTATAGTAAACACAAGGGAGGGTCGCTTGGGTGGCTCAGTCAAGTTGAGCGTCTGACTTTGGCTCAGGTCATGATTTCCCACCTTGTGTGTTTGAGCCCTGCATTGGGCTCTGTGCTGACAGCTTGGAGCCTGGAGCCTGCTTCAGGTTCTGTGTCTCCCTCTCGTTCTGCCCCTCCCCGGCTGGCACCCTGTCTCTCTCTTTGTCCCTCCCCAGCTGGCACTCTGTCTCTGTCTTGAAAATAAATATTTAAAAAAAAAAAAGCGTAAACACAAGGGACACCTGGCTTGCTCAGTCTATAGAGCATGTGACTCTTGATCTTGGGGTTGTAAGTTCGAGCCCCATGTTCGGTGTACAGATTACTTAAAAAAAGTAAACTAGACAGAATCAAAAAGGATAGCTCATTTTTTTCTTAGTACAACGAAAACTTTAAAAAGCTAGAAAATACCTAGAAAATATAAAAAGAGAAAACAAAAGCTACACTCTCACCACCCAGAACTAAACACCATTAACCATCTAATTCCTTTTAATCTTTTGATTTCATTCAAATTTTAGATGCTATATGAAAACACTTCTCATCCTATTTTTGGTTGCATTAATTTTATGCATTTTCCCGTGTCACTAAGTATTCCTAAAACATGTATTTTTAGATGACTTTGTAAAATTCTACTGTATGAAAATACCCCTATTTATTTCTCCCTCAAGGGCTACGTTGCTTATCTTTTACTACAAGTAAGGTGGCGTCACAAAATAACATCTGTGACCAAGTCTCCATACTACTAGCTCAGGATGAAGCCCAAAAAGTAGTAATGCTATTCAGGTCATGCCCAGGTGCCCTTCAGGTGGTGGTGGAACAGGCTTTCCGTGAACAACATGAAGGCGCTTTTCTTCCCAACAGCCCTGCATGCCAGATTTACTGACCACGCACGCCGGTGCTTTCGTGAGCTCCCTGCGCTTCACATCTGCCAGAGGGATTGCCTGTTCCGTATCCAACCCCACATCAGATTTATTTGATGATCATGTGTCCCGCTGATTCTGATTCTTTGTGTTCTCTGATTTAAGAAATCTAAACGTTTTATACAGTCCTATTTTTTTATGTTTAGGAAGTCCTCGTTATTCATGAATTTTTCATAAAATAGCATATAATCACGTTTTACTTCTACCTTATGGTTTCAGTTTTTATATTGATTCTGAACTCTACTTGAACGTATTATTTGGTAGGATTGGCAATCATTACTTTTTAAGACTTTTTCCTATTTTCATTCTTTTGGATTAACTGCAACAACCTTTTCAAATTCTAAACTACTGACCCAGGGCTTTAAAATCGTCTGCTCCCAGCTCTGCTGAACACTTACTGCTAGTTTTTCTCAGGCTTTCTAAGAAAAGTCATGGATGTGCATGACCCCCTATCCCCCACCCCCTGCTCCTAGCGCCTTGTGTTAAGTTGTCCAGTTCTGATGTGTGAGGAACTCTCTGTGGGAACTGTCAACACACATTTCCCACCACCAAAACCGACTCCTGGTGTCTGGGATGGAGGGCTTCCCCATTAAGCACACTATCCGCTACTGGTTGCAGATAGGTGTTTTTATTAAAAGCCTTTATTCCAAGTTTAGGGATTTTTATCAGGACTGGGAACAGAGTCTGAGCAAATGGCATTTTTAGGATCTACTAAATTGGTCATGCTGTTTGCCATTCAAAGTGATAGATTTAATTGGTCTCCTAATGTACCATCTTTTCATTCCTGGGATATCCTAGTAGGAAAAAAAAGGTACCAGTGAAATCTGACTTAGGAATTTCCTGTCTATATTCATGTGAGGTTACACTGTAGCCTTCTTGTATACTAGTAAGAACCTTGTACAGGTCTGGACAGTTTTATGAAGTTAGGGGTGGGGGAAATTCCAAGCTTTTTCTAATTCTGGTTTACCTCATACTGTTCAAGAATTAGCTTTTCTGGGGCTCCTGGGTGGTTCAGCTGGCTAAGCATCTGACTTCAGCTCAGGTCATGATCTCATGGTTCATGAGTTCAAGGCCTGCATGGGGCTCTGCGCTGACAGCTCGGAGCCTGGAGCCTGCTTCAGATTCTGTGTCTCCCTCTCTGCCCCTTTTCTGATCACACTCTTGTCTCTCTCTCAAAAATAAATAAGCATTAACAAAAAGAAAGAAAGAAAGAAAAAAGAATTAGCTTTTCTCCTAGAAAACTGAAAGAAACTGGCAAAAAATGTACGGGTGAAAAACGCTTTTGGAAGGTAACCCTCTGCTCAGCCTTAAAAGTGTTCTAGTAGTGCAGATCCCTTCTATATCCACTACCGCTATTTCTAACTTTACTAGTGTTTTCTGGCTGTCTCATCCCGTCCCCTATCATCAGAGCTACCAGTCTGTTTTTTTCTTCTCAGAGAACTAGGTTCTATTTTACCAAAAATGGAAACCACTAACGGGACTGATGTCTTACCTTGAATCCTTCTCATTCTCTGCATTGAGGCGATTGGCTTCCTGGGCTTTCTCAGCCATCCATCTGGTGACCAACTCCTGGTTCTCTTCAGTAGTTTTCCTCAGTTTCTCCTCCAAGGCAGTAAACGTGATCTGCAGGGCATCGTACTCATCCTTCAGGGTCTGGTTCGCTCTTTCGAGGTCCTGAAGCTTGCTGCGCAGTTCTTGGCACTCCGTCTCCAGGTCAGAGATGGTCTGCAAGCATTCTGCAATTCTGAAAGCAGGACACGCAGAGGAGGGTTGGTACATGCAAGAGCCCTGTGCCGCAGCCCCTGGCTGAGTGCTTGAGTTGTGGGAGCAGAGGCCACCAACAGTCACCTCGGCCAGCACTCCAGGTGCCATGGTGGACTCTTCCCTAGAGTCCACCGCAAGCCCAGCCCCAGTGGCTTCCAGGAAAAGCCCATTAGGAGAGGAAACACCTAGCGTGAAATGTGAAATTCATCCACATGGTGAATGACTACAAAAGCAGAATCCCTAGAGGAAGCTTTGAAGCCTAAATAGAGCAGTTAATGGGCTGAAAAAATTAGAAATTCTACACATTCCATCAGCTCTATCATTCATGGAGCAAAGATGCCTTTCTAAGCCTCTGGAGACCCCTGTCTGCACAGCAAGGGGAAAAGGCACAGATGAAAGCCAGGGTTCCCTCCAGCTCAAATGTCCCAGGGCTGGGAATCCCAGGCTTCTCCCTGATCAAGAGTAATCCTGCCCACAAACTCACGCCTGTTCCCAAGGGCCACACACCCACATATGCTGGCCCCATCCCCACCACAGAAGACACCAACTGTCATATGCAGTGCCTGCAGGGAGAGTCATGAGTGCTTTGGGAATAGACGAGGGTCAAGGGTACTTCTCAGAGGTGTGCTGGGAACCTGGGAGACTGAGAGCACCGTCCTTGCCTTCGTCTCCGTTAGAGGAGGCAGGCTGTGCATGCAAAGAAATGACAGTCTTGCTGAGCCCGGGGTGGCTCCCATCCACCAGCCATCACCACCGGCCCTGCCCATTGGCCAACCGTAAAAGGACAAATGTGCCCCCATGACCAGCCCCGGAGGAGTTGCCTCTACTCACTTTGCTTCATTCATCTGCATCTCCCTGTCCTTCTGCTGCATTTGGTTATTCAGGTCAATCACCAACTGAGCTAGCTGCAGGGGAAAGAGGGAGAGATTTCAGAACGTCAGCTGGAAAGCAAACAACAGTGCGTTACTTTAGAAAAGGTGCCTGTGGGGTTGGGCCCAGGCACCAAGAAGAAACGAGCTGGGTGGCAGGGAGGAGCGGAAGGGCCGATGGAGACACTCATGGGAACAACGTGAGCTCCCTCCGGCCCACAGCAGCCGTGGGCGGACGAGAAGTGCTACAGGTTCCTGCTGAGGACACCCGTCTGCACCTCCCACCCCGTCAGCCACCTTTTCAAACACCTCAGCTGACAAAATGATCAACTGGGCCGAACTGATAACTTGTACTTTTTCATAATTTGCCATCAGACCGCCACCCAGGATAAACACAGCCCAGGACTTTTCCATTCTTTCTAATGAACTTTTCTGAAATTGCAGGGTTCGCTGTCAAATGCTTTAGGAAGGTATTAGCTAGACCTTCGGTAGAACAAGCACTAGGCTTCTCTCCTCCAAAGTTTCTCCACTGTAACTGTCGTGCCACCTGCAAGTGTGACGACCAGCAGTTATCTCAGGGGTCACCCTTTGCTGGTGGAGGGGAAGACCTCACCTTTCCCGATGCCGCGGTCTCAGAGACAGACCGATGGCACATGCAGCCCACAAATTCTAGTGCAAGTTCTGGTGGCCTGCCTGCCTGTTTCCCCACCTCGGGGCCCACACAGAGGAGAGGACAGATGCAGAGCGGCTATCGGTACCTCCCCACGTTTCTTGTGTAATTCAGTCAGTTCTTCTTGGTGTTTAATCCTCAGCTGGGCCATTTCTTGTAGCTGACTATCATTCCATGAGCCATCGTGGCCGGGACTAAATCCCCAAACCAGGCAGATGAAGAGAATGTGCAAAACAGAGAGGGAAGGAAAAAAAAAAATCAGACCCCAAACCTCCTTGATCAGGCAGTGAACAGTAACTTCAGAATTCTGAACCTGTACATGACAACACAACCAGTAAAGCGGTTCAGTTTCTCTAAGCAAATGGAGTTCTAGAAGGTAGTAAACATGAGACACGTGGTAGGTAAAATAAACCAGCCACAACCCAAACACTGGTCATGTCAGGAACAAGGCATGGGTTCCAGATGAAGTTTAGGAAAGTGGAGGAGACAAGGTGCACTCATGCCAGGCACTGACCTCAGAGCTGGGGAGGAGGACATGAACACAAAGCTTTGCTCTCACACAACTGAAAAAAAAATTTTGAGAGAGAGAGAAAAAGAAAAGACTGTGAGCAGGGGAGGGGCAGAGAGAGAGGGAGACATAGAATCTGAAGCAGGCTCCAGGCTCTGAGCTGTCAGTACAGAGCTTGATGCGGGGCTCAAATCCACGAACTGTGAGATCATGACCTGAGCTGGAGTTGGATGCTTAACCAACTGAGCCCCTCAGGCGCCCCCTCGTGCAATTGATAAATAGTTAAGAGCAGACGATGAACAAGTAAATACGTGAAGTCAGGTGGTCAGATGTGAAGAGAAAGTAAGCATGAAGAAGGGAACACAGCAAAGGGGGTCCCATTCTATGCAGGGCACTCGAAGAAGGATTCTCGGAGAGGCAACTGAAGAGAAGTGAGGGGCAAGCTATCCAAGGCCCCGGGGACTGGGGCCTGATGCACAGAAGAAACGTCAAGTGTTGGAAAGGCCTGGGGGCAGCAGCACAGCTGGTGCAGTGGGGAGAAAATGTGAGCGGACCCCCTCACCACCTGGTACAGGAGGGTAGAGAAGATGGTCAGGGAGGAGGTGGGGAGATCATGCAGGGCCTCCCAGACCCCACTAAGGACCATGACTTTTACTAGGCATGACTGGAAGCCGCTGTTGTGTTGGGAACAGAGGAGTAACTTATGCTTTAGAAGCTCAGCTACGGTTGCTGACTGCAGGAGGGCAGGGGCAGAAACAGGGCAGCCAGTTAACAGGCTATTACACAGCCCAGCTCAGATCAAGGTGGTAGCAGCGGAAGGAGTGAAATGGGGTCAGAGCCTAGATCCATTTTGAAGAGAGTCCTTGGATTTGCCTTGGACTTGCCTGTGGAGTCAAAGAGAAAGACAGGGTTTCGAGGCTTTGGGAGCAACTGCTGAAACGCAGGTGCCACCTACTGAGACGGTTAGGACTGGGGGGGAGCAGGCTTGGGGAGAGGCCTGAAGAGGGCAGTTTGGACACCCAAGCGGGTGTGCAGAGTGGAAACTGGGTGTCAGAGTCTGCTCGTCAGGTAAAGAGGTCCGAGCCAGAAGCAAGCAAGTAGAAGCTGTCAGCAAACAGATTATTATCTGAAACCACAGAACTGAGTTCAGATTCTCTCAGGGTTGATGTGGTTTTGGAGACTTCACAGGGGGGTTGCATCCCCTCTCAGAAACAGCAAGTGACTGAACTGCGTGTCTTCAGATCAGGACTGGGGTCTCCATTGCAGCTACAGATGAGAACCATCAGATGACAGTCAGACGTTTAAACCATCGTCCAGGAAGAGCACAAGATGGAGAAGAGGAAGACGCTGGAAAAGTAGGACAGCAGCCCCTGTAGGGAGGGGGAGAAGAGCCTCCTCCATCTGCCCTGTAATAAACCTAGAGGGAATGGGGAGCAGCACAATACTCCCTCCTAACTTCGCCTTTGATGTCTAAAGCTACTTCTATCACATGTTCTAAGCACATCCTAATACCTCATTCTTTGAGGCAACTTAATACTTCCCCAATATTAGCTGGTGAAGTAGAAGCTAAGGGATTAGAAAGGGGACCACTTTATAAGAAACCATCCTAAATGAGGCAGAAGGCTTAGAAATTATTTTTACCAAATCCTCTTATTTTAATGCAAAGCAATGTGCAACATGCAAATGTAACACTAGTCCCTTTTTCTAGGGCGCTAGCATCAGGCCACTCATTGCACCCATAGGGTGATGCGGCTAGTTGACAAGGACTCCTGTGCAACCATGGTCTAAAGGAGTGGTTCTCAGGATCACCCAATTATAGATAAGGGGCCTTACCACCCCCACCCCTGCACCCCCAGTTTCTGAAACAGGAGGTCCGGTGGGGGACCCAAGAGCCTGCATTTCTCACACTTGCCCGATGCTGCGGTCCAGGAAGCACACACAGAAAAAAAGACCGGAATGAATGATTTCTGGGCTAAGAAGTTTAACGTTAACCTATTTGGGATTAAAACACTTCAGAAGGGACTCATATATTGACCTAGATAAAGCTTTTTAAGCAAAGGCTATAGCATTTTACTAATAACTGGGACAAGCCAGGAAGAATTTAAGAAGAGACAGAAGGCAGGAGGAAATGACCAGGCTCATCTTCTGTAAATACCCTTATGAAACCACCCTGAGCTGGTCTCCCCACTGGACAAAGGGACAGATTCGTAAGAGGCTGTGAGTGAAGAATGAGCATGCCTGTGTGGGTGACTACCAAAGAGGCGGGGCAAGATATTGAGGGAAAAAGGAATCAGAGATGACTTGTGGAAAATACGAACACCATTAATAGAAACAAGGCAGTCAGGAGGAGAGGCCTGATTAGGGGCTCCAGCCTGTAGGAAAGAAAGGACCCCCAATTAGATTACCATTACAAATATAGTAAGCCAAAAAATTATTATATATTTATTGTACCTTCCCAAACAGCTTGGATGACTAATAAAGGATAGAGAAATATAGTCACCAAGAATCTAACCTGATAGAAGCAAAATATTACAAGTTTTCAGTTGATGGAATTTAGATGAAAAAGGTAAAATGGTATTTTCTACACCTCAAATTGACCAGAACACTGCAGCTATTTTTTTCAAAAAAGTTTTTTAATGTTTTATTTATTTCTGAGACAGAGAGAGACAGCGTGAGCAGGGGAGGGTCAGAGAGAGAGAGGGAGACACAGAATCCGAAACAGGCTCCAGGCTCTGAGCTGGCTGTCAGCACAGAGCCCGACACGGGGCTCGAACCCATGAACCGCGAGATCATGACCTGAGCCGAAGTCGGACGCTTAACCGACTAAGCCACCCAGGTGCCCCACATTGCAACTATTTTAATTGCTACAGTAGGGCCCCTCCTCCCCGGGCCATAGTCAGGCAGCATCTCTTGAGTTTATTATTAAGCAAGGACAGAGCTGGGCTGGGCACTCTGTTCCTCTTGTCCACTCTGGTCTGCCAGGAGACCATCTCGGGAGATGAGGACACATGGATGGCGGATGGTTCTATAGCAGATTTAGCTACAGAGATAAATAACTTCAGCCACGCCTCCACATGCCTAGTTTTTAAGAAAATCGCTAAATTACTACCAATTTGTTTTTGTCGGTAAATGTTAACCAATATGCAAAAAAAGCATATGGATTTTAGAGTGATAATGGGAAATGTTCCCATACGAACCCTCATATATAATACGCAAACATGACAAATGTGGAGAAAGATAGTAAGACTACAGAATGATTCTATGGTAAACTGCTTTTGATAAAGTCTGGGTATTAGATTTCTTTTGGACCATGCCCCTCAAAAAGAAATACAGTTTACATGAATAACTCAAACGTATCAAACTCCCCATTATGAAGACATATATGCGTGTTTGATGAAATAATCCTTATCCTTTCTATGGAGAATGCAGGTTTCTCCTAATCTTTCTTAAAAAAAAAAAAAAAAAAAAAAAAAAAAGCTTGCTGCCACCAGCTAGCTTAATTTCACACTTTATTAAAAGATGTTGAAATCCAGTGAACTGAAAAGGATCAAACAGACCTGTACCGTATACAAAGCACTTTAGATGTTTATGCACCAGTATGTAATCCAGTATTAACAAGTTCTATGTAAATCTGCTCAAGAATGCTTACAGATATGATTATTCAGAAAAAGTGAGCCCAGAGGCTGAAGGAGGAACTGGCCCACTTACCCGCCTTGAGCAATTTCTCAAGCTCACAGCACCTACTGTTAAGCCTTCTGGGTGGGCACATACCTTCCAAAGAGGATTTTAGTTACTTGGCTTCAGAAGGTCACATTTGAAAGGAGCAGACACAAGCTGGAGCACAGAAACTGTACTCCACTGACCTCTAAATGAGCAGTGACAACTGAATGGAGACACGTTTTAGTTGAAGATACGGGACAGTTCCGAAATACCTGATCTCATGCCTGTTGGGGATGTCATGCTTTTCAGCTTGTAGCTTATGGGCCAGCACCGAATGAAGATCAGACTTTTCTAGCAACTTGTTATCTGTTAAAAAAGAAGAAAAAATACTTATGGTAACAATGCACACCATATTACGACTTATTATCCTACAAAGACCTGAACCAAAAAAATAACCAGAAGATGACTAGATAGGTTTCACTTTCACTAGGCCTCAAAAGTCCTAAGGACTGCACTTAGACGGCAATGGTAGCAAGTGTCCAAAACCCAGGAACACACACTCCTTCAATGCTTCTTGGCCTAAGCACAAGCAACCCAGCCAAAGGAACCTATGGAAACTTCCCTGCAGGAATGTCCCCCACTGACTTATTTTTATCTCAGGAGTAAAAAAAAAAAAAAAAAAGACAGAACAGACAAAACCCAAAACCCACAACCGAATACAATGGAAAAATGAAATGTTATGGGCCTCTAAGCAATATGAAAGAGCTTTACCTTATTATTACACTTGGAAATTTTAGTTTTTAGACCTGGGTACTAGAGATACAAATATGAAAAGTCATTGACCTCAAGGAGCTCAAGTATAGCAGACGGTCAAGTATAAAGGGGAACAGAAGAGTAATCTTCCCTCATATAGCGCTTGGATGGCTTTACAGGTGAGGGTGATAAGAGTTATCTGGTAAAGCGACTAGAAATCAAAGTTGGAACCAACACATAAAGAGAATGAAAAATTCAGACCTTTTCTTACCGGCAGTGGTGAAATAACAGTTTAAAAAAAAAAAAAAAGCAGGCAATGACAGGAACCAAGATTTATCAGCAAAAAGTCAAAGATTCTCCTGAAATTCCTAGCTCAGGCGACTGGCTGCAAGATGCTCACGTGTCAAGAACACAAGAACAGAGAACTTAAGGGAGAAACGGCGTTTTCTTCCTGAAAAGTAACAAATGCGACTGGGCGCAGGAATTCAAATGACTAGTAGTTAGCAATGACGGTCACACAGGGACTAGGTGGGAAGGGGCACGGAGCAGAAGAAGTGACTGATCATGGGACACTTGCAGAATAGCTAAGTTTGATGGGGGTCGTCACAAATCCTAGAAGTCTGAGATTAGAAATGCTCTAGAACAAAATTTCGATAGGGTTCGCACCAGTGAACATTCCTGTTGGAAGGGCTTAGCTTTCTTCTAAAAAAGCCTAGAGTCCCACTTCTCCTTCACGTGTGAAAAATGGAACTCCTGGGCAGAAACAGAAATACTCTTGGTCTAGATTAATTTCATCCATCAATTCAGCAGAACACGGAAAAGTGATGGCAACCTTGGGTGTTCATTCATGTCAAAGGGCTCGAATGAGGGCTCTGAAGTGTCGCAGCAGAGCTGGGTGCCGTAAGATTGTCAGGTCTTAAAAAAAGGACAGGAGGTATCCCATAGGGATCCTGCCTCAAAGTTCACTAAAGAGAAAGGTCCAGCTGAGGGGAAGCTGTCACCTGTGCTTACAGTCTCTTTTCATCTCTCTCTTTAGGCTCAGAGGCAGGAACTGAACTTGACTGTCCTGGGAAGGCAAGAAGGAGCGGAAGGTGTTCCACAAGCAAACTGGAAGTGACCTCCCCGATGTCAAAGAAAAAAACTAACAGGCAAAGGCTGTCTTGCTCTCTGGCCCCCTAACTACCTCTGCCTCTCCTCTCAGTCGGGGCTCCTAGCCCCTCAGGCGCGCGCTTCTATGTAATGATGGGTTCCCTCTCTGAGGATGGTCTCCTTCGGACTTTCCTCCTACATCCCCACCCCACCCTCGCCATCAAAATGTGCATTTTCAATGCAAAAATCAATCTCTGTCAATCGCAATTACAAGCAGGTTCTGTTTATAGGCTATTATGTAGATGGCTTTCTTTACATACACAGCTTTTATGAAGCAGACAGGACAAGCCCTGCCCCCATTTTATAGACGCAGCAAACCAGACTCAGGAAGGTAAGTGAAAAGCTCAGTAAGTCAGACTTCCAGCCCAGTGTAACTTCCGGTGTGCGTTAGCTTTTAAGAGGAAGCATCTAGGGAGTACCTGACCACCTGACTTTAAGTAACCCACGTGCGTTCCAGTGGGAAGGGTCTCCTGTGCTTCTGGCAGCCAGATCTCCTGGAGGACAAGGAATCCCTATGACAGCACATCACCTCCTTTTGTTCCCATCGTTTTTAAGACGGTGGATTCGGTGAAAGCAAAGAAGGGTCATTTCTTGGGGGCTCCGGTGAGAAGAACAAAAAAGTTAGGAGCCATTATGTCCGCATTCGAATCTGCCCGCCTCCCCAGAGAAGTTAACTGAATCTCTCCCAGCCCGAGTTTCCTAAGGCAACGCCAGGACCCGCCTCATAGAATTCTCGAGAAGACAAAATAACACCTGCCACATATTTACCACAGCACTCAAAGTAGCCCACACGTGAGAAATACTTGGGGACCGTCAAAAACCACACATCCCAATGTCCCACGCCTAAATATTACAATTTAATTGGCCTGGGCTTTTTAACTCTTAAAAGATCCACGTGATACTACGGTGTACATAAGACTGGGACTCACCGACTTAGCACAATCAGAATTCAGTAACAGATGACTACTATTACTTTGAACCTCATCACTAACTCCAGACTTTTCTCCAAGGGGTAGATGGAACCGTAAGAGGGAAAAGTGCCCATCTCTTCCCCCAAACGTGTCATCAGTTTGGTAAAATTGGGAAAGGGGCAAAGAAATTTGCTCGTTAGGACGCATCTAAGAGTGCAAACACTTTTGTACTCAAATTGTACAGAGGCGTGGAGGGAGGAGAAAACCACTAATTTCGTACTGAAGTTTTCGGTAACAGTAAAGACTACGATGTCCCACCGGGACAGTAAGACTCAAAACCTGTTAACGGTTACAGAACACCAAGGTGGAGTCAAGGCCGGAGATCTGAGGACCCCCAGAGCTGAACATTTCATTACACCAAGAGAACAATATTAAGTTGTGCGAGTTAATGCTTAAAGGCAGGGGCCGTTTCATCACACGAGGCCCGAAACGGGCCGTTTCCGGAGCCTATTCAGGCACACGAAGCGTGGCTGCCGGATTCACAAGCACTAGCCGCGCCTGCCCATGGAGACACACGGCTTAGTAGGAAACCTGTCTCAAGTGCAAGAGAAGATCCGAAAGACAAGGCTGGGGCGGCCACAAGGCGCGTGGGCGTCGCCGGCGCTCGGCCTCGGCTTCCCGCCCGCTCCCCGGACCCGCCCGCCCACTCCCCGGGCCCGCCCGCCCGCCGCTCACACTGCAGGATGATCTCTTCGAACGCCTGCCTCTGCAGCCGGTCCCGCCGCCTCAGCTCCTCCGAAATGTGGCGCTTCCAGCGGGGGAAGTCGGCGGCGCGGAGGGCCGACGACATTTCGCGCGCTGCCCCGGCGCCTCAGCACCGCGAACCCGAGCGGGGGCTGGCGGCCGCGGCCCGCAGCATGCGGCGCCTGGCGGGCGCGGGAAGGCCGGCGGTCCGGAGCTCGCTTCCACGCACAGGCCGCCCCCCAGTGCCGTCCCGGACTGTCTTCCGGCTCCCGCCGGAAATGGTTTGGGTCAGGGCCGGAAGACCCGCCTCGTCACCCGACGCCTGACGCCACACGCACGCGCGAGGCCGGGGGCGACGCGGGGCGCTGAGAATTGACGCCCTCCCGAGGCCGGAAGCGCAGGGAGCAGGGAAGCGGCCGCTGGGTGGCGTGCGGGCTACGCGGGAGTTTTAGGTGTTGGCGGAAAGGAGCGGCCCGCTAGTTTAAGTTAACTTCGCTGCCTCCTCCTTCCCCCGCCCCCTCCCCCGATTTATCTTTATCTTGGCCTGCCTCCCTTTTCTCCACCGCCTCGTTTACAAGCAGAAGGGGGAGCCATGCCCCACCTAGTAGCTGAGTGACTGTGGATGAGCGGCAACCTCCTTCAGCCTCAATTTCCTAATCTGTAAAACGGGCCCTCTGATGATATCTCCGTTCCAGGGTGGCCGTGAGGATTAAAAGGAATAACCTAAAAATAAGATAACATAAGTGAAGATATGACTAACCTATGCAATGCAGTGTACACTCTACCTGGTACATTGCAAGCGAACTTCACCTAGACCGCCAGTATCTTCCGACGCCTACCCAAAGCCTGGCTGCATTATACTTTAGCAAGACGGTCCCATTGCCCTTAGAAACAGGTTGTTTTTGTTTTGTTTTGTTTTGTTTTACAATGAAGACCTGAAATGCAAAGACCGGTTAAAGAAAAACGTAAATAGATAGGCTATGTTAAAGATTAGACGCCTAGAAATTATCAATGATCCAACAGTAAATGGGTTTTTAGAAGGTCATCTAAGGGTGGGGACGTAAACAAGTCTTTGAAAGAGGAAAGGTCAGTTTGCCAGTAGATACTGAACGTGAAAGATAGTTTCTTGAGAAGATGACATCTGTCATTTCAGAATGGAAATAGTCTATAATAGAATCACCTGAGCTCCATTTGCCTTTAACAAGTTAGTGAATTCCCTGCATGAAAATGGAGTTGGACAAAGTAGAGGCCACGGGAGAGGAAAAGAGTATCAGAATCGGGCTTCTCTTCGAACCTCTCAAGTCCAGTGGAAGCCTCTTCTGCGACAGATAAAAAAAAGCCTCTCCTGTGGAGCCCAGAGTAGGTCAGTCAGGCTTCTAACAGCCTTGTTAGAGATTGGCAGTCAGTGATCTGAATTTGTGGAAAGGACAAGGAAGAAGCAGAAATTGAAGGGACTTTCTCACATTCTGAGGAAAATGAGACAGCAGCTTTCTGAAAGTTACCAAAAATGCCTCCAAACGCAACAGTGGTACTAACCTCAGAAGACCAGAGCATCACAAAGCATCACATCTTGACAGTTGAATGTGTTAATTTTCCAGATGAGATCATTATTAAAACATGTTAACACGCTTGCGGAACCAGCAATTCCGCCTGTAGAAACTTTGTTAAATATTTGGACAAATATACAAAACATCTGTCCCAAGACTGTTCATAATAGTGGGAAATGTGGAGCCATCTGTATTTTCAACAAGAGATGGGTTAAATAAGTGTATATGTATTGTTCAAAAAAAATGTCCCTGGGGCACCTCAGTGGCTCAGTCAGTTAAGCGTCTGGCTCTTGATTTCAGCTCAGATCATGATCTCACAGTTTGTGCGATTGAGCCCCACGCCAGGCTCCATGCTGACTGATAGGAGCCTGCTTGGAATTCTCTCTCCTCTCCATGCCCCTCCCTGTGCTCACTCATGGATGCACACACACTCTCTCTCTCAAAATAAACTTTTTAAAAAAGTCCCTAATAAAAACAGTGTATGGTATAAATCCAATTTATGTCAAATAAGTGCATCTTTGCCTCCTCATAGGCAACATTTGTCAAATGAATAGAAGATATAATTTCTAAACTAAGGATGCTAAGCTCTGCTAGGTGTGCCCTCTCCCTAACTCACCAGCTTTATCCCATACACATTGCAGCCACCCTAGGCCCTTTTACTCACTTCCACTCACCATACTTCCCCCCACAGCAGGGCGTTTGGACTTATTGTGCTTGTGTTGTGCGCACTCTTCCCTTCTGATTTCTCCGAATCGATTCCTGTGAGTGAATTCTCAGCTCAGTAATCACTGCCTCACAACCTTCCCATAATAGACCTTCACAGCCAGGCCAGGTCTCCCTCCTACACATGCACCTTTCCTTTTTTTTTTTTTTTACAAATAGTTTATTGTCAAATTAGTTTCTACATAACACTCAGTGCTCATCCCCAAAGTGCCCTCCTCCATGCCCATCCCCCCCTCCCCCCCACATCCATCAGTCCTCAGTTTTTGTCAGCATTCAAGAGTCTCTCATGGTTTGCCTCTCTCCCTTTCCCCCACCATTTCCGCCCTTCTTCTCCCCCTTGTTCCTCCGTCAAGTTCCTCCTAATCCTCCTATACGTGCAAACATATGGTATTTGTCCTTCTCTGCCTGACTTATTTCGCTCAGCATAACACCCTCAAGGTCCATCCATGTTGCTACACATGGCCAGATTTCATTGTTTCTCATTGCCATGTAGTATTCCATGGTATAGATAAACCACATCTTCTTGATCCATTCATCTGTTGATGGACACTTAGGCTCTTTCCATGTTTTAGCTATTGTGGAGAGTGCTGCTATGAACATTGGGGTACATGTGCTCCTATGCCTCAGCATTTCTGTATCCCTTGGGTAAATTCCTAGCAGTGCTATTGCTGGGTCATAAGGGAGTTCTATTGTTAGTTTCCTGAGGAACCTCCACACTGTTTTCCAGAGGGGCTGTACCAGTTTACATTCCCACCAACAGTGCAGGAGGGTGCCCGTTTCTCCACATCCTCGCCAGCATCTAGAGTTCTCTGATTTGCTCATTTTAGCCACTCTGACTGGCGTGAGGTGGTATCTCAGTGTGGATTTGATTTGTATTTCCCTGATGAGGAGGGATGCTGAGCATCGTTTCATGTGTCTGTTGGCCATCTGGATGTCCTCTTTGGAGAAGTGTCTGTTCATGTCTTCTGCCCATTTCTTCACTGGGTTGTTTGTTTTTCGGGCGTGGGGTTTGGTGAGTTCCTTATAGATTCTGGATATTAACCCTTTATCTGATATGTCATTTGCAACTATCTTTTCCCATTCCGTTGGTTGCCTATTAATTTTCTGGGTTGTTTCCTTGGCTGTGCAGAAGCTTTTAATCTTGATGAGGTCCCAACAGTTTATTTTTGCTCTCGATTCCCTTGCTTTTGGGGATGTGTCAAGTAAGAAGTTGCTGCGGTGGAGGTCAAGGAGGTTGTTTCCTGCTTTCTCCTCTAGGGTGTTGATAGTTTCCTGTCTCACGTTCAGGTCCTTTATCCATTTTGAGTTAATTTTTGTGCATGGTGTGAGAAAATGATCTAGTTTCATTCTTCTGCATGTTGCTGTCCAGTTCTCCCAACACCATCTGTTAAAAAGGCTGTCTTTTTTCCATTGGATATTCTTTCCTGCTTTGTCAAAGATCAGTTGGCTGTATACTTTTGGGTCCACTTCTGAGTTCTCAATTCTGTTCCATTGGTCTATGGGTCTGTTTTTGTGCCAATACCATACTGTCTTGAGGATGACAGCTTTGTAGTAGAGGCTGAAGTCTGGGATGGTGTTACCTCCCATTTTGGTTTTATTTTTCAGTATTACTTTCGCTATTCGGGGTCTTTTGTGGTTCCATACAAATTTTTGGATAGTTTGTTCTAGTTTTGAGAAGTATGCTGGTGCAATTTTGATTGGAATTGCATTGAATGTGTAGAGCATGCACCTTTCCTTTATAGCAGTGATCACGGTTGGAGCTTTGCGTGTATTTATATCATTATTTGATGAAGGTGCATCTGCACACCCAGACTATAGACTCTGAGGCAAGAGTTATGTCTCTTTTTGCTCAACATTATAGCCAGCAAGAGCAGGAAACTTGTTATGGATTAGGTGCTCAGTGAAGGCTGTTTAATCGATGAGTGTAATATATGAAAATGCTGATAGTACTAACTCTGGGCAGTGGCATTTTGGGTGTTTTTGTCTTTTCTGTGAGTATAGTTGATTCACTTTTATGTTAATGTTTTTTTTTCTATGTCTTATATGTGTTTTCCAATTATTACACATTACACTTGTATGTGCTTTGTCTGCAAGAAAGTTATAGAAATGAACACGTGTGTACAAAACCACTTCTTCCTCAAAGTGTATATAAAATATCCCAAGATTCTTGTAGTGTGTTAAGCAGTGCAAATTTGCTCACAGAGGAGTGGAAGAGGCATCATTCACCAAAGAAACTTCTTTGTGTAAAGCTTAGTATCACCGAAGCAAAGTACAACTAGATTTAACATAACAGCATTTATGCTGTTAAAAACTTCTCAGAGGGGTGCCTGGGTGACTCAGTTGGTTAAGCCTCCAACTTTGGCTCGGGTCATGATCTTGCAGTTTGTGGGTTCAAGCCCTGCGTCCGGCTCTGTGCTGACAGCTCAGAGCCTGGAACCTGCTTCAGATTCTTTGTCTCCCTCTCTCTCTGCCCCTTCCCCACACATTCTCTCTCTCTCAAAAGTAAATAAAAATGTTAAAAAAAAAAAAACTTTCCGGAGACTTTCACCTTAACCATCAGCCTGTACACCACACCCGTGAGGTTCTTTAGTGCTACTCCAATCCTGTGGACTTCCAAGTCCAGCTTTCAGACAACTGTCTTATTACCTCTTGTCCTTCTCCTTTAGGCCTTTCTGATCCCCGTTATCTTCCAATCAGCAAGTGCAAACAGTTGGGTCCTAGTGTGGGTCTGCCACAGAGGTGAGCCCTATGTGGCAGACAGATGCCCCGGCTTGGATCCTGAATTTCACAGAGCTCACTCTTCAGGAAGGGAGATGCGAATATGCGTTATTTACAACTGTCAGGAATAAAAGTAAAAGTGGGCTGGCCAGAAGGCGGTGCCAGGGAGATTTGACTCCTTCCTGTTCTTTTTCCTTCTTGCTTTTATTCTTTTCTAAAATATAATCTCTTGTTAAAAGAAAAAAAAAAAACACTTGGTTATTTCCACTC